AGCACGGACTCATTTTGCTTTCGCACAGGACGCGTTTGCAGTCCACTCCTGATCCGCGGCTGTTTACCACAAACACAACATTTATCCATTATTTTGATTTCAAATCCAAACTTTGTTTCTGAAAATGCTTTTTCAGCATTGTGATTCTCTTTTATCACAGTAGAGTAATACAATCTTTCATAGACATATTCACGTTTAAACTCAATAAATATAACTTTGTTTAACTACCACCACGAGTGCCATCTATTATTGCCTTGTTTATCTAAAAGTGCACTTTTCCTCGTTTTAAATCTAGCCAAAAAGCCATATGTGTTGACTGTGAAACAGTAGACTTTAATTATATGCATTTATGGTGTAATTACTCAATTTCTGTGTCAATCCATGTTAATTTTACTTTAATTCAGCGCGTGCAGCACAGCAAAAATAGACTCAGTGCGGAAACGATCGCAGCATGACTGCTGCAGACGCACCGCTCCTGGAGCGCACTGCTGGACCGCAATCGCGTGCAGTGTGAACGCTCTGATCCGTTAACATGGGCGCGGAAAAAATACGCACCACAGACGAAGTGTGTGAACCTGGTGTTACGTTTGTATGCCCGCCCGGTCTGTTCTGTTCTCTTGCTCTATTTAGGCGCGCTGCATTCTGATTGGTTCGGATAGCATACTGCGGGAGGTCGGGGGCGCGGAAAATCGTGCTATAAAGCAATTTAAAAATCTCGCAAGCTCATATCGCGATTTTATGACATTTTCGATTAATCGCACAGCCCTACTTTTTATCCTAAAAATCACGTATCATGGTTTCTGCAAAAACATTAAGCAGCACAACCATTTTTAACATTGATACTAATGAGAAATGTTTCTTGAGCATATTAGAATGATTTCTGAAGGATCATGTGACACTGAGGACTGGAGAAATGATCACAATAGAAAGCGGTTCTAATAATATTCCAACAATATTACTGTTTTTATTGTAGTTCTGATCAAATAAATGCAATCTTGGTGAACATAGGAGACTTCTTTCAACCTTGATTTGAGGCGATATTTCCACAGCTCTAACTACTTTCCCTTTTCAAAGCATTAAAATACTATAACAGCACTTATTAGAAATGACAAATGTGACAGATGACTAGTGAGATCATCCGGTTTATTCATAAAGTGGATAATGCTCTTGAAATCAATGGGTTGGCAACCTAAGGCCGTTAATCATAAGCAGTCTGTGAAAAATCCATCTGACAAACAGCTCAAATAATGTTGTTACTAAAGACTATAGAAAACCGATATGCAAAGACTCTACTTGTTTAGAATCATGCAATCATATTTATGATATAGAGATTGTATTGTAATTTAGCAAATGTAACTATACATAAGATTCCATCAGATTATCATCACAGTATTTTATCCTAATTGATCACCGCACATGATCATCTCTTCATCATAAAGAACCTCTAATGTCCCATACAAACACGGGGTGACTTTACGACCGGGCCAATCCTAGTAAAAACCTGGGCTGACAAGACAGAAGTAATCTATCTCTCCTCAGTGTTTTCAGCCTCAGAGGGACGTTGATGAATGGGGCTTTGAACTTGCCTCTGGGCAAGCAAGGCCTCCATCAATCTTTCCCCTCCTACAAACACACAAGCGCACCCACGCACGTGCATCATGCATGCAAATACACGCATTATTCAAAAGACAGAGGCGCAAACAGAATCACAGACCTCAGAACTGATTTAGGAGGATTTGCTGAGGATAAACTAACCATTTAAACAAGTCATTAGGTAGCATTCCATTTCTAAGGTCACTGTAAAAGCTGTAAAACTGGCCTGCACTTGACAGGTAAGGCATGTATGGGCAGTTTTTTTGAAAGGTTGAAACTGTACAACTGGGCCTCTATCAGGAATGAATATCAGGAGTTTTGTAATCCTCTGAGGCCTTCACCCCCAGCAGCTCCTGCATCCCAAACCAGGCTGTGCATGGAGCCAGATAACAGCCAGGCCCCGGCGACCGGCTAGACGGCTTAATCCCATTGATGGCAGGCAGCAGTGCCACATGGAACCTTTGAGTAACAGAACAAAACACATCAACCACGCATCCTGAAAATATGATTAGCCGTGTTATCAACACACCACAATGTTGTAATGCAGAGATATAAAACCCCTTGGCAATTGACTTGCAATTCAAACACACAGGCCTCCTGCAAGAATGCTTGATAACCATGATAAATATTTATATTCTTTCATAAGGCTGGGGAATATGGGTTGTGACCTGTTTCTGATTGACCTCTGAAATGCTGTTATTTAAAAATTGAATTCAAACCATATCAATTCTAAGCTGTGGTGTGATTTGCGAAAGACATGCATTAAAAACAGTAAAGTGGACCAATTATATATTAAAATAACAGTAATGGTAATACAATTATTTTTAATCATTTAACTCTTAATTTATATACATTGTATAAAATTATATATATTTCAATAATGATAATAATAATAAATATTATTTCACATTTATATGTTTTAGTTTTATACAAAATGTTTTAATGTTTATTATATTATTATATATGAATATCCTTTAATATAATAACTTAAATGATAATAATATAAGTAATAAATAAATAATAAAAACAATATATAAGTATTATTTAAAAATAGAAAACTGGATGTCTTGTGAAAATACTATTTTTAATAATTTAAATAATTCATAAAATATTTTCATATACACATTCCAATGTTAATAATAATAATAATATATAGATAATACTTATAAATTAGAAAATAAATATTATTTAAAAATATCAAACTGTGAAAATAATATTTTATTAATTTCAATAATTTATATGAAGTATATATATATATATATATATATATATATATATATATATATATATATATATATATATATATATACACACATGTACTTGACAATGGATCTGAAACCTTGATGTGCTTTGTGATATCCACTTTGCATGGCCGGATGTTGCAGAGTCTGCTCTCTTTGACCATCTGACACTGCTTGTTGTTGTTAGTAATGCGTAAAGACACTCCACGGCCGCAGGTCTTTGAGCAGGGACTCCAGGAGGTTGTCTGTGTCACACAGTTCTTGTGCCAGAAGTCTTTTACACTAGACAGGGCTGTAAGATATATATATATATATATATATATATATATATACCATTCAAATTTTAATAATAATCTGCATTTGTTTAAACATTTATGCTGTTTTATGAATTATTTAATATACATCTTTTTCTTAAAGCTCGTAAACTGAAAACAAACATGCCACCCAATTATTTCACATTTACAAACAAGCTGCAACACGATGTTCTTGCACACTTTATGGCAATATTTACAGTTCAAGCTAACTTCATCCCCGAGCGTTTCACACATGGCTTCAGCTCCACGCTGCACACGTCAAACGGTACCTGTCCCTTTAAGAGGCGGAACCGTATGCCCATATTTGTAAAACTGGGGGCATTTAAATCCCCGACCCCTGCTGTCAATCAAAAAGACCAAACAATCACAGAAGCCTTAGGCGTGAGCTCCATTACAAACGTGACTTTCCTTTTTACATTTAATGCTCCCATAAAACCTAGCAAACCCCAAAATCAGACGCTACTTTCCAAGCAATCCGCAATGCACATTTAAAGCATTTAACGAGAGAAATAGGGAAGGATCTGATCTCGTAAACTCAACCACACGTCTTTGTTTAGTTACCCCCCCCCCCTTCCCGCCCATATTTGTAAAACTGGGGGCATTTAAATCCCCGACCCCTGCTGTCAATCAAAAAGACCAAACAATCACAGAAGCCTTAGGCGTGAGCTCCATTACAAACGTGACTTTCCTTTTTACATTTAATGCTCCCATAAAACCTAGCAAACCCCAAAATCAGACGCTACTTTCCAAGCAATCCGCAATGCACATTTAAAGCATTTAACGAGAGAAATAGGGAAGGATCTGATCTCGTAAACTCAACCACACGTCTTTGTTTAGTTACCCCCCCCCCCATTCCCCGTGTAACTTTTCATCGAAACCCCCCACGTTTCCTCACGCTGCAGAACAACCAACAAAGAGATAACCTGTATGTCATATACATTTAATTTATGAGCAATAAAACTCGTACAATACAATACAGGCTGCATAAATATGAAGCAAACCATGAAAAATTAAAATAAGCCACCAACTACCTATCTCTATCCAGATGTTGTTTGGCCAGTAAGTGTTTATGTCAAAAGTGAATTTCACACAGTCTAAAACTCTTAAACCCGTTTTATTTTCTGTTAGCTCCTCTACAAAAGGAAAACCATTGCCATTTTAACCATAAGAAACAAGATGAGTCTTGAGAAGAAAACACGCACGAGTTCAGTCGAAAGCGTGTAAGTTTCAGCACCACATCAATCACGACTTCGTTCAAAATCATTGCGATTCCTTTTTAAACAGCTTTCTTCTTCTTTTCTTTATTAATAGTAGTAGCTGCTATGTTGTTTTGAGTTGTTTAGCTCTCTTCTGATATTATCATTCCAATATTTGTTTTGACGTGCAGCACGTTGCCCCAACCGCTGTTAAATATGCAATATAAATAAACCTTCACTTGACGTCTGACATACCACAATCTCACGTGCACGTCGATGCTGACATTTATTTACCTTTATTATGTGACACAAAACGACACAAGGGGTTAATGTCAGCTGAGCTCTGCAACTCCTCGCCACAAAGCTTCGGAGAAAACCCTGCGTGACCCCATTTTTTGCTGCTCGGAGCGCTGGATGTTTTGAGAAGCCGTAGAAAAACAGTCAGACGTTACTGCAAAACAACGACGAAGCTTTAACCGACGGGGGACACGAGCGTTTATATTACGAAACCTGCAAACGAGGCGATTAACGGGTGGACATATTGACAAAGCAGCGCTCGGCTTACTAACACCCGAAGTGCCATAGGATTTCATGCGCGGATATGTTTGTTGCCTTTCCTACGCAACGTGTGACGAAGAAACGGTTGAAATCCTTACCTGCCGTGAAACCAGTCCTTACAAATATCGCATTCTATCATAAACCGGCTCACATCGTACGGCTGCCGGCAGACGCAGTACAGCTGGGCCGTCGCCATCTTCGGACTGTCCCCAAACAACGCAGCGGCAGCCAAGCTGGGATCTAGCTGGGCGGGGATTCCTTTAATTATGCGGAAACTACACCGAGAGGAGCGCGAGGGCATGCCGTGACGTCACGCGTCAACACTGCGCGCGACGCACGCCAAGTCACTTCTCTGTTTCTTAATGATTGTGTTTCCACTCCTCGTGCTGTTTCAAAATGGAATAGATCAGTGAACAATGTTTTGTGGAAAAAGGTTTGGACGCTTCCTAACAAGTATTTATTGGTAAATAAGGTTAAAGAGATTTCTTTTAAGCTTATTCATCAGTACTATCCTGTTAAAACATTTATTGTGTCGAAATTCAAATGAAACATAGATGTACTTTTTGTGACTCGCGACCAGAGACTGTATTGTGTTCATACAAGAAAACTTTGGCAAGACATTTGCCAGTTCATTGCAAACTTCATACATAATGACTTTGAGCTTTTCTTTAAGGATGTTTTGTTTGGAATTTTGACTTTTGAGAAGCAATATGGAAATGTTTACTTTCTCTGCGACTTACTTATTTTACTTGCAAAATATTTTATCCACCAGTGCAAGGTTATGAAAGTTACCCCCCACTTCTCTTACTTTCAAGAAGATATTAAAATGTATATTAAATCTTTAGTACTCCTGTAACAAAAAAGGCAACTAAAGCTTTGAATGTATGCTCACTTTTTGGTGTTTTTGTATCATTTTTATCTGATAATTATTTTGTGTTTTGAGGGAAGAGTATGTTTTTTGTTGTGTGATCTGTTTATTTATCTTATTTTTTCTCATTTACTTATTTTTCTACTCTTTCTCTTTTGATTTGTAATTGCTGTGTATTGTTTGGTCACCCGTGAACCCCTGGCTCTTTTTCTTGGCAGATGTTCTGTCACACTTGTATTTCTGAATAAATAAATAAAAACGCCAAGTCACTTCATCTTTACGTAATACGATGATAGGGTGATAATAAAAAGCACTGAATGAGACAAATGAGTTATGGATACATACATTCAAGGTTTTAAAGTCTATTAAGTCAAGACCAATAGTTGTTATTTTTGTTAATATAAACTATAGCTTATAGTTAAAATCAGTATAATGTACATCACATGTAATCATATTTTACTTTAATTACCTTTTTTATTAAAGAATGAAAGGTACAAGTTTCCTCCTATTTTTTTCTATAATAATAACGTTTTGAGAAGCTGCATTTCACATGTGAAATATGAACATGAAAGTAAAAGCTTTTAAAATGTGAAATCCTGATTTGCGTGCATTTTAAACTGAATGTCAATGAGCTACCAGACAATTTAACATTTAATTTCAGGAGATTAGGCTCAAACACTATGTCATGCAAAATTGTTTGAAATACAGTTCTTATGAGGAAAGAGAGAGATATTTTACACCATATTTTCAATACAGGCTGTTCAGAATTTACCTCTAGAAACACCTCTGGGTTAGAATTTGATGAATGTGTTTATGTGTTACATATCTTGTCAGATTGATATGCTTTAATACCCACCTTGCATGATGGGAAGCAGACAAACAAACAAAAATCTTAAATATGACAATTTTACACTGCATTTTGATTTTATATTAAGAAATGATATACCATTTAAAAAAGGCTGAAATTGCTCTAAAATATATTTGAATATGAATTCCTTTAAATAACTGACGCAAATTTGTTTTAAACATTATTAATATTTGGAAAACCTATATGTATTAAGTCATTTTATTGTCATGTGATTTTTTAAATGTAACATTTGGTTAATATCAGTATGTTTTACCACATTTTGTTACTCTTGATGTCTATGATTCACATTTAAAAAAACTTTTGACAGTTTTTTGACATTATTTTTATGACAATTAAGCAGCCCCATTTAAAAGCAGCATAAATAAAAGGCAGCAGCCTACAACAAAAGTTATTTAAATATTTTACAATTAAAAAATTATATAATTCTTTTATTATTAATTTTATTTGATAATATGCTGCATTATGTAATAAGTATAGGGATCCCTGCTGGTCATAAACAATGTCACTATAAAAAAGGATGTATTATACTTTTATGTTTTCGCATTGTATTCTTGCTGTGTTTGTTGCATCATATTGCTTCGAATAAAGTATCGTAAACCTGCTAGTCCTGAAACTTTGAGTGGAAGGTTGACAATAGCACAACCTTGTGCAAAATCTGATCATTACAGTCGATGTAAAAGCGCAACTCTCTGACTGAATACCCGTGTATAAACTGCAAGCGACGCGACAAACTCGCCTACAACGGTTCCATTATAATTAAGAACTCTGCGACGCGGTGAAATGAAGCGGCGTTGATTAGGAAGTTTGTCGCGTCGCGTCAGATGGGCTTTAAGCTTCTGGGCGTCGCCTTGGCTCGACTCGGACCAATCGGGATTCCGCTCAATACTTGTAAACAACACAGTTGCACGCTGTATGAAAACTTTACTACGAGAGAGGATGTCGTGCCGAGGACCGCCAGAAAATCTCTTAATTCGGTAAGGGCCATGTTTAAAATATTGACAGGTTTTGTGAGCTTAAATGTGTGTCACGTCGATGATACAAGCACTTTTCTCATCTCTGAAAGAACGAGCGCAACTACGATGTTGGCAGACATCCGGGACGTTTGTCGGTGAAAAATAGTGAACGCTGATGTATTTCTTTGGCAAAATCTCTGTTTGTTGTGACACGACGAGTAGCTTTAGGAGTAACTAAAGGGATACTCTTACTAAGGTGGTCATTTTTGTTTCTTGTTTCTTTTGTAAAAGAACGAAGCGTAATGAGATCCTCATCGTAAGTGATCAACTCTTGCGCAACTGAGCCCCGGGGAACATCGGTGGGCGGCTTTGCGCTTTGTTTTCGTTAGTGTTTTAATATCGTGATGTTCAGGGGTCAAGATGTTTAGTCCACATTTTCATGACTGTTAAAGGTGTATGGCTGAGGATGGCTCAAAATGTGAAAGATATGGTCAGTTATATAGGCTACACTCATAGTAATTTGAAATATGGGTCCATGACGTGATGCTTGTTTTTGTCCGGAAGAATGATTTGAACACACTGTTTTATTAATAGTTTTATTCATATGTGTTAATGTGTGAAGTAAAAGCAATTTAGATTTTTGTAAGTCAAAAAAGTCTGGGTGGTGTAATGTCTATGATTCACATTTAAAAAAAATATTTTATGACATTCTTTTGACAGTTTTTTTGACATTATTTTTATGACAATTAAGCAGCCCCATTTAAAAGCAGCATAAATAAAAGGCAGCAGCCTACAACAAAAGTTATTTAAATATTTTACAATTAAAAAATTATATAATTCTTTTATTATTAATTTTATTTGATAATATGCTGCATTATGTAATAAGTATAGGGATCCCTGCTGGTCATAAACAATGTCACTATAAAAAAGGATGTATTATACTTTTATGTTTTCGCATTGTATTCTTGCTGTGTTTGTTGCATCATATTGCTTCGAATAAAGTATCGTAAACCTGCTAGTCCTGAAACTTTGAGTGGAAGGTTGACAATAGCACAACCTTGTGCAAAATCTGATCATTACAGTCGATGTAAAAGCGCAACTCTCTGACTGAATACCCGTGTATAAACTGCAAGCGACGCGACAAACTCGCCTACAACGGTTCCATTATAATTAAGAACTCTGCGACGCGGTGAAATGAAGCGGCGTTGATTAGGAAGTTTGTCGCGTCGCGTCAGATGGGCTTTAAGCTTCTGGGCGTCGCCTTGGCTCGACTCGGACCAATCGGGATTCCGCTCAATACTTGTAAACAACACAGTTGCACGCTGTATGAAAACTTTACTACGAGAGAGGATGTCGTGCCGAGGACCGCCAGAAAATCTCTTAATTCGGTAAGGGCCATGTTTAAAATATTGACAGGTTTTGTGAGCTTAAATGTGTGTCACGTCGATGATACAAGCACTTTTCTCATCTCTGAAAGAACGAGCGCAACTACGATGTTGGCAGACATCCGGGACGTTTGTCGGTGAAAAATAGTGAACGCTGATGTATTTCTTTGGCAAAATCTCTGTTTGTTGTGACACGACGAGTAGCTTTAGGAGTAACTAAAGGGATACTCTTACTAAGGTGGTCATTTTTGTTTCTTGTTTCTTTTGTAAAAGAACGAAGCGTAATGAGATCCTCATCGTAAGTGATCAACTCTTGCGCAACTGAGCCCCGGGGAACATCGGTGGGCGGCTTTGCGCTTTGTTTTCGTTAGTGTTTTAATATCGTGATGTTCAGGGGTCAAGATGTTTAGTCCACATTTTCATGACTGTTAAAGGTGTATGGCTGAGGATGGCTCAAAATGTGAAAGATATGGTCAGTTATATAGGCTACACTCATAGTAATTTGAAATATGGGTCCATGACGTGATGCTTGTTTTTGTCCGGAAGAATGATTTGAACACACTGTTTTATTAATAGTTTTATTCATATGTGTTAATGTGTGAAGTAAAAGCAATTTAGATTTTTGTAAGTAAAAAAAGTCTGGGTGGTGTAACTGTCCACAGATTGTAAAAAAAAAAAGAAAAAAGAAGAAGTCCAATTAAAAGGCTAAAATATTTGTAATAATTTATTGAAAAAGTGTTGTATTATGACATTCTATTATTAATCGATTCAAAAGCAATCAAAACATTTATCATTTTGAAAACATTGTAAACCAAAGTCAGTGTGGCATAGGCCTGTACAATGTAAGAACTTGTTTTGTTTCTTTTTTTAAAAATACAACATTTTGACCTTTTTATGAAAACACATTTTGTCAGATACACTGTTTATTTTTATTTTATTTTTTAAAAAGCAGTCAATCATTTAAAAAAAAAATTCAATTGGGAAATCTTTGTAAATTAAAGTCAGTGTGGCATAACCAACAATAAGCAAAATGAACCCAATAAGAATTTTTTGCCATGTGTTAGTTTTTAAAATGTAACATTTTTCTTTACCTTTTTATGAAAAAGCTGATTTTTGTACTGTCACGATCTTTTACTTTAGATATTCATAATTCATCTTTAATAACAACAGTTAAACATTTAAATACTTTTTGACATTGATAAAGTTGTTTGTGTATTTAAGGTTTAAAAATATATTTTGTACTTTACATTAAGGTTCCACCATTAGACATTTCTGTCATTAAATTAAGCCATTAAATAAAATGTGTTAATAAATATGAACCTTTTTTTCCCAAAAATGTATAATTCCAACATGATTACAACATTTTATATCTCTAAGAACTTGATTCATGTGTTTAAAAACTGATTTAAAAAAATCACATTAATATCATCACTGGCCCATGCATGTGACTTTTTGTAGAGGTCCAATAAGGGCAGAATCTTTGAACTGTGAATGGCATCCCAAGCAGGCCAGAGTGAATACCTTGGCTGTTATTAAAATCCATCAAAGAACAAGCTTTTGGATCTTTTGCTAAACTAATCTAACCTAATTGATCAAACTATATAGTTTGATTGTGTAATATTCATCTTAGTGAGTCATTTATAATAGCAACACAATGGACGCTTCTAAGTGCACCGTCAAGTTTCAACATCCTCGTAGCTGGAAGCTATATGGCATTCAATAACTGTTTCTACAGCGTTTGTTTGCTTTAGTCATGTATGCAGTGCTTCCTCTGAGAAGTCTGCTCAACACATGCTTTTCCGAATGCAAGCACAAACCCAAAAACAAAACAGAAAATGCCTCAGCAGTTTCAGTTTTTGGGTAACTGCAGAAGGCGAGGGGCAGGGCAGGCAGGTGCTCGTTTAAGACATTGAACATGAACACAGGATGTGGGCACAGCCTTCATTTTAGAGCCTCGGCGCTGCACGTGCAGCGTTCATCCAGAGTCCTCTCTCCTGAGGAAGAGGAGGAGGAGAGGATGTAGCTTCCTGCCGGGGGGCTCGATCAGGAACACAGTGTCTCTGACTCCTGAGACAGATGCAGGGAGGTCTTTGTCCTTCAGTGAGCAGGTTCAACATTCAGTGGTCCCCTCACTGCATCCCAGCAGTGTATTTGACAGGACAAAATTATTTATTTAATTTTTCATTATCGCAAAGGATTGTCAAGATACGCCCGATTTCTATCAAGAGTGTTAAAGCCCCCTTCTTGGTTGATAATCAAAATGGCTGATCTTTCTGTGTGGCCGTTATGGTTGATTTATCTCCTACGCATACTGTCACCTGCTGTGGTTTTAAGAGACTTGGCTTCTGAGAAATGACATTGTTGACTTTCTGTTACTTGCAAGATCAGTGTTTCGGTTTGGAAGAACAACTGAAGGATAGAAGTTTTGGAAATGATATTTTAAAACACCAATTGTATCAAAGTATATTAAAGAAATACATTTTTATATTTTATTTATATTATTTATTTTTTATTTCTATATATATATATATATATATATATATATATATATATATATATATACACACACACACAGTATATATATATATATGCATGCTTATTTAAAATATTATTTAAAAAGTATATAATGTTATATTTTAAAATATACTTTTTTTTTTTTTATATTTAAAATATTATGAAAAATATATATATAGTCTGACTAGATGTGTGCCTAGAAGTTATTCAGTTGCTTTTTAGAATCATAGAAACCATCCCATCAAGTAATTTTGATTTCACACACTAAATTTATCACCTATTTCAAAGTTTTGAACCACCAACAGAGAATACAGTTAATTCATAGTGGTAGTGAAAATGTGAATCGCTCAACGCATGCATCCTCACACTCGTACTGTGCATTTCTTTGTTTTGTTTGCTGTTCTTCTGAAGCGGAAATGTCGGTAGTTCTCTTCTGAGCAGCTGTTTGTGGGCACTGATACAATGACAGTGAAAGGCTCATCTGGGGCAACTCAACGTCATTGTTTCCTGGAATCTATGCTAATGAAAACAAAGACAAACAAAACAAAAAAAGTGATCAGCATAAATAGGCTTTAATATATGCATGATAGTTTGAATAATTATTTTGAAATAACATCTGTACTATTATAGAGACTGGTTTTAGGTGAAAATATTCTGTAATAATAATATTCTGTAATATTTCAGATAGTTCAGTAGGCTATTGTTTAATAGTGCTTTACACGATACAACGTATTTAAACAAGAATACGTCTATTTTATACACACATTTATTTATTTGCGTAATTATTTACTAATACACATTTATTTATTTATTTGTGTATTTATTTATTTTTAATTTCTGCAGGTTTGGTCCTCCATACGCTGACACATTCTGGAAGAGTAGTTGTGCTCAATTAAAATTATTTAATTATTTAAAAAAAGCATTTTCCTTCATTTTAATTTCAGCATGGTTATCAGTGTTTAAATATATTTTTATTATGCATATTAATGTTTATATTTATATATGTACATGAATAATACAAATAATGTATACATGTTATTAGTATAATTTAGTATTGTTTATTTATTATTACTGTATTATTATTATTTACTTTTATATTTTAGCTTTACATTTACATTATAGCTTTAGTTTTAGTAGTATTATTTTTTTTAACATTTCTATATATTAGTTTTTTATTATCATTATTACTACTCTTTTCTTGTCTTTCTCTACTGAGGATGACAATGCTATAAATAATGGTAACAAAAGAATGAATGAATGAATAACTCAATGAAAATGAATAATATTATTTAACTAGCTATTTACAAAAAGTAAGGAAAAGGAAAAGGAAAGGGGAAAAAGAATGTTATCTCGCATTAAAAATCTATTTCTATATCGTTTCTTCTTTCTCGTGTAAATGTTATTATCAATTATGCATCAGCTTCTATAATTAGTCACTCTCTAATCAAAATGACTGAAAATATTGTTACAACCTATTAGTGTTACAAGAAATGTGGCTATATTATATCTAAATGTGGCGCAACTGTATATTATTAGTATCATTATTAGTATACATCACAACTGTACACTAACATTACTTTTTTTCTTATTTATTCTTTCTCTCCCTATCATATATTGAAAGGCTGTGGAAAACGTTTACATTCTATGTTTATTCATATATCTGTCTTTGGTTTTGGTATATTGCTTTTTGTTGTTGGTGGTGTTTTGTTCATTTTTCTGTACTTTATGTCTACTGTCATTTTTAAATTTGTCACATTCTCAATAAAAAAAACAAAATCTATAATGATCAAATGTAATTTATTTTTATTTTAGTTTTAGTAATTTTAGTAGCAACTTCAACTTATTTCAGTTAGTGGCCAAGGCAAGATTTGTAATTTTTGTTCAAGTTTTTAAATTTATTTTAATTAAATTTTTAAAATTATTTTATTTTATTTCAACTTTATTTTACTTACAGAAAACAATTTCAGTAGTTTCTCTTTTAGATTTAAGGAACAAAAACAATACTGTAAACCAATAAATGTGTTCTTATTGAATTATATTTTACATATTTTAATTTTATTTATTTTGTTACAACACTGACAACCATATCTGAAATATGAGAAATAATAAAAAACTAAACAATATAAGAAATATGAGAAATAATAACGAGGACAGTTTTATTTATATATATAAACACTGAAGTAAATACAAGTGGTACTCAAGTTTGTTCGTCTGTCTGTCTATCTATCTATCTATCTGTCTATCTATCTATATGTCTATCTATCTATGTATAACCTTGAGTACCACGTGTATTCCAGTAGGTGGCAGCAAACACCTACTTAACTGATGGTTGTTGCTGCTCAAAAAGGGATTTTCCCTAGTATTCTGAACTTTAGTACTTGATATCCTCTGCTTCCTTTGGCAGAATGTATGAAGCACTGTCATATTCACCACTAGTGGATTCTAGTTTTGTTTCCCTTCACTCTGCCACGTTAACAAGCAGCAGCCAG